GGGGGGGGGACGTTTAGCATAAAACTCCAGTTGACCCGTTTCAAAATATTGTCTTTGCTACCAGCGCGTCCGATTCTCACATCAGCGTCTTTAGCCTGCTGCTAATGGCGTTTTGTCACTTGAGCTGCAGAAGCGTGGATTACTGTTTTCCCCATGAACAAGGAGCTCGGCGCACGTGCCGTTTGTCAACCTATTTTTTCCTCTCCTCTTGGAGGATTAGCTGGAGCGTTTATATGGCTGATATGCATATTCATTAAAAAAAAAATTGAAATATTGTGGAAAAAGAAGCTGTCTTTGAGTTAGCACAGCCTTTGGGAATCTGTTAAGTAAGATGCACTTAATTACTTTAGCTATGACTACATCACATTTCGCTCATGTTTCCTCTGAGAGGCAGAACATCTTTTCAGTGGAGGCTGCAAACGTGTCCTTTGGAGTCTCGAAGCTCCCGCTCCCGTTGCAGTACCTCGCGGCGAGGTTGCCAGCGCACTTAATGCACGTGTTGGACAGGATCCGACCTTTGGGGAAAGCCGCGCGCGTGCGGGGGGAACCGGCGGCAGCAGAGACACCCGCTCCCCGCTCTGGCCTCGGAGCCCCCCCTCCTTGCAACGTGGTTAATCACGTTTGCAGGGGGGGTTATTTAGTTGTGAATGTGCTTATGTCTGGTAGTTAACGCCTTCTCGAGCTGGGACCGCTGGATGCCTTCACTGAGCTCTTTCTACCTTTTTGCAAGACCTCTTGAATATGGGCTGCCCCGTGCAGTCCAGGCACTGTGAGAATTGAATTGCCTGCTCATCCCTGCTTCTAAATTATTTCAAAATTGGTGCAAATGAGGCCATTCTGAGTGTCTCCTAGGCTCTGCCACCGGTGCGTCGAACGCCCTTGGGCACGTCACCTTCCCTCTTTCTTCCTTCATTGCATGTGGACGAAATGGGCCGTGATGTTGGTTTCCTCAGGCGGGTTCAGGAGTTAATTAATTAGTCTTTGCAAAATAGTTGGCGGCCCGGGGGGGGGGGGTCCATGTAGTGGCTCACCACCTCCACGCGCTCCTGAGGCTGCTCATGGGACAGCAGTGCGGCGAGGCTGAGGACGTGCAGCGCTCTGCTTTTCTGGAAATCCAGCCGGCGTGTCAGCTTTCCGGTACGGGTGGGGGGTTCTAGCGTGGCTCCGGTCGGGTTGCTGTCAGCAGGAGTCCTTCTCCTGGATCCTGTGGGCCAGGTGTCAGGTTTTTCCTACAAATTTTCTTAAGAATTTGCAGCACGTGTCCCATATCCATAAGTGCACTTCTGGACTTGTTCTGCTCTGCTGCATAAATAATAGGCGCTTTAAAGAAAAAGTGCATGATTACGTATTTAATGGGTAAACTGAGCCGTTGTGGTCTATTGGCCACTTAATAAAAGTTTTTTAAAAATTGTCTTAATATAGTATTTACCCAAGAGGCTGCCATGGCTGCAAATGCAAATGAGCTATTTTAAACTGAAAAAATTTTTAAACCACATTTCCTAGCCTTCTCCGCTTATAAAACACCCATCTCATAAACTTTTTCTTCATTTAAATTTAAAATAAGGACAATAAATTATTCTTTTCCTTAGCAGCTGGCAGATCAGCTTGAATGTTGAAAGGTCTGGATTAAACTGACCAAAGCCGAGGCAAATTTACCGTTTCCTCCTCGGAGACTGGGCAAGGCGCTCACCGCTCCCCCGCCGGATGGGTGCCATCCCGTGGCCCCGACCTCGCGGGCTCCTCAGCCGCCTCTCGCCCCAAACTCCTGGTGCTGCTTAAATGCAAGGTGTACTTTTCTTCATGCATGTTAGATCCCAGCACTTGGTAATCAATACAGAAAAAGGACAGATCTGGTAAAATCTGCTCCCCTAACGCATACCTCTCTACTCACGGAGAATCTGAAAGTACGAGCAGAACATGCTCTCTGATGTTGTGGTAAAGCTCTTGATTCCTGACCTGCAGCAGTAAATCTGTTTTTTGCATTTGGATTTATTTCCTCTGAAGCCTACTGAGCCCGAGCAGATCTGCCCTAGGTTTCTCACTGTATGTGCCGCTAATGGAGTTGGCAAGCTTCCCCTGTTAATGAGAGATTGCACCTCAGTGGGCTTATCGGAAATGAAGACTGTTAATAAATAAAGCCTGGGTCTTTAAACTCACGTTATCGTTAATCAGATTAATGCAAAAAGCAAAAAGTCTGGAAAATGTTTAAGACGGAGTTTGATTTCCCTCCTGCTGGCTTCTTCTGTGGCTGCCTCAGACTGCGCAGAAGTAGCCAGCTTAAGTCTGCTCTGCAATTTGGGAGGGAGCTGGGTGCACCGGGCTGACAGCTGCGCATGGACGGGCTTGCTTGTGCCGGGGAAGGGCAGGAGCGGGGAGTGACGGGGAAATCCCTCTTGGATTTTCTCCAGGAAAGGGAACGTGGCTTGGCTGGTCTTAGGGGGGTTCCTCTGCACGCTGTCCCGGCCACTGAGCGGGGACGACTGTCACCGCAAAGGGGGAGAGCGGGAGAGCACGGTGTACAGACTGGCCATGGGGATTTACACCCCACGAGATACTTTTATTTCGCCTAATGGAGCATTGGACATTTCTTATTAGTGATATATACATGTCATTTTCCTTTTGAATCTTTCAAGATTGTTGGGCTCAGCAATCTCGGGAGGCAGTACTTGTGCCGGTTAATTGTACGTTGTCCATGTAGCCCTTTAGCTGTATGGGATTAGGTGCCTTTCAGGTTCATTAGATGTCCCCTCGCTCTTGCAGGGGGAGACCAAGTCAGTAGGTATTAGAAAACTTTTTGTGAAAGCTCTTAATTTTGGTGGACAACTCTGCTATGCAACCTCTTCTCTCAGCTGCACGCGTACACACGCATGCACATGCGCACACATACATCACTTCTATTCTCTCATTCGGAAATCTTAGGCAACCAACAATTTTCGTTACCTGTTTTTTATTTCTGCTACATTCGTTTTGAGGGCGAACAGAACTGATTGCGATATTTAAATTTGCAAGAGCTGTCTCCAAAAAAAATTGCAATTAAGTAGTTACTGCAGCCAGCAAAAGTCGGAGAGGGATCTCTCCACCTGAGCTGTTTGGGATCCATCTCAGGAAATGCCTTGATGCTTGGTGACTCTGAGCCTCGGAGAAGTAGATTCCTTCTGGCTCAGTGGTGATGATAGAGCTTTGGGCAGGCGTTGTGCAAGGGTCAGAATAAGGGGGGGTTGCTTCCAGCTCCTGAGATAGAAACTAAAAAAAATATTTTTACTGCTTTTTGTGAATTTTATAAAATAAGGAGATGACCGTTGCATGTTACACCTGCTGACGATGAGCCCCCATGTCTCGGTTGTAGCTCTCGGCCATGTATGGGGCACTTGAGCTACCCTAGGTTAAAACGGGCAACCCGAAGCTCATCCATGTCCAAAGGTGTGAGAACTGAGAGAACTCCAGTGGCCAGCAGTGCAAGGAAAGGAAGAAAGAGAGAGAGAAAGAGGCAACTATCGTTGGCTTTCTCTTTCTTCCTGGTCTCCCCAGAGGCGTTTTCGTGGCAAAGCCTCCCAGTAGTCAGCCCTGGGGCTGGAGGCAGACCTGCATCCCGCGCGGGCTGCGCTGGCCCTGGGGCTTCCACCTACTTATTGTGTGTTTCCTGCTTTTCCCTTTTGGTTTAACCGCAGTGGCGCGAGTGCTCAGACGGCAATATGGATAATGCAAGAGGATTACTGCTGCCAGGGTGCCTCCCCCAAACTCACGTATATGTATTTCTAAGTACAGTTTAGCAGCTCTCTGATCTCTTGGCCTCTGGCAGGGTGATGGCAGGGAGCAGAGCCCCCAGGGGCGTTACTCGTTCCTTGCTCTTGTGTGATTTGGAAGGGGGCAAAAAGACATCTTTTCTTTGCCAGCTCTGTCGAGTAACTTTAAATCCGTCGCTAAGAGTTCATCGTAAAGTGATTTGACAGTACGATAAATAAATACATTTTTTGAATTAAAAAGTGATATTCTCCTAACTCAGATCCAGGAGATGGTCCACTCGGACGCCACTTCCTATGATTCGAACCGTCAAGTGCCCCTGATCAATCGACCAGGGATGTTAGCCGGGCCCATGAGCGCTCTCAGCCAGTCTCAGCTGATTTCCCAGATGGGGATGCGCAGCGGTGTTACCCACGGCTCCCCATCGCCCCCGGGAAGTAAGTCTGCTACACCATCTCCCTCCAGTTCTACTCAGGAAGAGGAGACAGAGTCACATTATAAGGTACGTGCAGTCATGCCTGTTTTAACAGACAGTAAGAGAACTGGCAAATGCTGGGGTTTTTCTAGTGAGAGAGAACTTCCGCTGATAGGAGCATAGACTTTTTGTCTTTCTTTCATGTATATATAGAAAGAGACTTTCCCAGGAATGAGGAGACTGGTTTCCAAACTAGGGCGAGGAAAATCATGGCAGGATAGCACATCCCATCAGACCTTGCTGTGCTTGGGTTGTGCGTGCAGCAAGTGTGGCAATGAAAACTTGACAATGAAGAAATTTTTTCCCCAAAAAGCTTTGCCTTTCTTTCTGCAGTTTGCCAGCTACATCAGGCTGCAGAGCTTCCTCCAGTGAGGCATTTGACGAGAAATACCAGGTTCAGTGCTAAGGTTATTCCTCACTACAAATTCCCAGATGCAAAATTCGATTTCTGATGGCAGGTAGACGAGACCAAAAAAGGGAAGGAAAATAAACCCAGTCTGGGATTTAAGCAAGCTCGCAGACTGTGGCAGAGTAAAGTAATCATAAGCAACAGAGGAATGGTCTTCAGCTTTTTAGTTCGCCTGGGTGGTATTTTAGCTAGAGATTAGTACCTGTCACAGGTAATAGTGTGTTAGGGACACAGACTCTGCCTACACAACTGTTGCTGAGCATGGTATCAAGAAACCCACCATGGGTGTGCATGAGCAGTTTAGGTGCCAGAAGCAGCCTAGTGACAGCAGGATGGAGCTTGATATGAGCTGCCCAAAGCAGGGCTCAGCAGTAGGGTAGCAGCCTGCACCGAACTCCCGGCTATCAGCACTACATTCAGAACAGGGTTGGAGCTAGCTAGGGTAAAGTTATCCTGGGGGGATTTTTTTCAAGGGACTACACAGCAGGAGGGTTAGAGTAAGGCTTCTGAGACATCTTGGTCACCCCACATCTTTCTCAAAATGCACCAGCAAAGCACACTCCTTTGCTGTTGTCCATGAGTCTTCCATCTGTTATTTGTAGAGGACAACTTGCAGCAATCACAGGGTTGCTTCTTCAGCAACCTGCGAGTCTCTGTGTCTGCAGGTCAATCACTGTGTTTCCCAGGAGACTTTGAGCAAAGCCTTTTGTGGAAAACCTTCTGGAAGGTGCTGCTTCCAAGGATGGTGCCAGAAGCACTGGTGGTGTAACTTTGTCCCCGAA